GCCTGGAGGTTCGCCCATGGAGGTGACATGACCATGCTGACGGGAGATATCTACACGGATGGATCAGGGCTCTCCCCCATAGCCTGGCCCGAAGCCAACAGAGCTGGCTGGGGAATCGCGATGATGACAGGTCAGGCTCTTCGTGGGATTGCGTACGGACCTCTCCCAGGACAACAGCAATCAGTTCCGCGTGCTGAGCTATACGCTGTCATTCAAGTTCTACGCCATGGGATGCTGCCGATGCACATTCGTACGGACTGCCTGGGCACCGTGGAAGGCCTCACATGTGGGCCTGAGTGGTGCACGCACTCACGCAGGCCGAATTGTGATTTGTGGAGAATACTATGGCAGGCCATCCAAGATCATGGAGGTTTGTCCTCGCAGCTGGAGATCTCATATGTTCGATCGCACCAGATTCAAGGCGAGGCCACAGTCGACAAGAAGGGCAATGATTATGCAGATGTTGCAGCAAAGAGGGGGCTGGCTATGCACGCGTTGCCGTCGGAAGCCATTCAGCTCCACTCGAACATGATCAACATTGTCAGGCAGGTTGCGTGCTGGATTGGGTCCTCTATGACGTTGGTTGGGAACCAGGACCGTCAGCCACCGCCTGCGCGCAAATCACGCCGACGACTTCAGCGACGCCGTCGGCCTGGACACCAGCGGCCAGCTCTGACTATGAGCCAGCGCCTGCACGACATCAGGCCCGCGCTGGCTGGAGGATGGAAATGTAAACACTGTCAGCGCTTCGCGCGGACGGCATCTGGACGTAAGCGCCTGGCCCTCGAGGTGTGCACAGTGCACCGCCCCTCGGGACCTCAGGCCCCCGAGCCCCAGTCCAGCCCTGATGGGGTCCCGCGGTGCCCCCCCCTTGGCCCCCGCCAGGCCCCCAAGAGGCCACTGGGCAGCCAAGACGGCCGAGGAGGCGGTCAAGACGAGGACGGCCCTGGGAGGAAGGCGCAGCGCGGTGATCCTCCCTCCTCCCCTACTTCGTCCTCTGACCCTCCTCCTCCTCCTCCTCCTCCTCCTCCCCACCCGACCCCGCGGGTTAGGATTGTGGGTAAGTCTAGGAGGCCTGAGGTCGAGGAGGCTGAGGCGTTCATCCGAGCCCCCCGTAGGGTCAAGCCGAGAGTGCAGTTCGAGCCGCTTGTCCAGACTCGTGTTAGGGAAGCCACGGTCGCTTTTGATCCCCCGATTGGCTCGGAGAAGCGCCCTAGGCTTGCGGCGGCCACTGCGAGGGCCAACGCCGCCCCTCCCAGCACGGTACTCCCTGCGGAGGGGACGGTTCCCCCTCAGGCCTCTCGAGGCCATGTGCTCTACCGCGCGGGCGACGTGGTTGGATGCATGCGCTGCGGATCCTTTTCGGAGCGTGCTCACCGATCACAGCTTTATAATGAATGTGAGGGCCCCAAGGCCTTGGAGGGCAACCCTCAGAGGAAATGGAGGCGGAATAATTTCGCGGAGGGGCGGCACCCCAGCGAGGGCCGCAAGCACCCCATCCCCCTCCCTCGGCGCATGTTGGTCTCGGACCCCGCTGTGGAGTGGCTTGGGCTTGCCTCGTGAATTCGGTTCAATTCGTTTTGTTCTTAATGTTTCTGTGAGGGGTCTGGTGAATTGATCGGCCCCGTGCCCAGGCCAGCTTCCTGGCCTGTCTCTGCGGCACAGGCCCGTCGTCGGGCGTGTGCGTGGGGATACGGTTGGGCCTGCCCTTTCGTGTTCCCCACTCTGTCTGTGAGAGATTGTGCGTTCTCACCTTTTCCCAATCGTCTGCTCTCTGCCCCGAATCCCGACTCGGCGCGTCCCCTCATGCGCTCGCTACTCCTCCTCCTCCTCCTCCTCCCCCTCCACCTCCTCCTCCTCCTCCTCCTCCTCCTCCTCCTCCTCCTCCTCCTCCTCCTCCTCCTGCTCCTCCCCCTCCCCCTCCCCCCGCCCCCGCCTCAAGTCGGGCACGCCCCTCTACAGCAGGAGCTCAGTGGGCCCTGGAAACGAGAGGGCCGTTTTTCTGCCGGATCCGTTTTGCCGTCTTTTGGCCGGTTCCGACGCCGTTTTTTCACCAGCTCCGTCGCCGTGTTTTGACCGGTTCCGGCTCCGGTTCCAATCCTGGAACCGTTTTTGTTGCCGTTTCCGGTCGCCGTTTTTTTACCGTTTCCATTTTCAAGGGACATTTTCTGGGAAACGGTGGAAAAACGGCCCTGCCGTTTCCGGGGCCCACAAAGCTGTGGCCCACCGGGCCTGCGCTCGAGCGGTGCCACGCCGGCGCGTCTCGCGTGTTGCTCCTGCGACGGTGACGGCATTGCAGAAGGAACCCCTGGACGAGGAAACTTTCGGTTGCAAGCGATGGGAGCCCAGTCTATCTCCGCTGCATCCCGTCTGTGGCGTCGATTGGCGTCGCGTAGTGTCTTAGGGTCGGTGGGCCAGCGCCGGTGTATAGCGTCGCTCAGCGTTGAGGCAGCGTCCCTTGGCGTATAGAGCTGGCGTGAACGAGCGTCGTTTCGCAAGAGCCGATCAGATGGCACGGGAGGCTCCCACGAGCCGCCCCCGAACGCTTCTCGCTTTTCTGGAGCCCGGTGGATCCCGGGCGGCGAGGGCGAGGGCCCACGATCAGGAGAGGAAGAAACACACGGACACAATGAGTCGTCGATCCCCAAAAGATATGGGAAGATATGGGAAGTGGGGGGGAAGACAGTATTCCAGAAAATACAAGAAAAGATGGGGAATCTTTGTACTTGTGTGTATGTATTTGTGTGTCCTGGGGTCCCTTCAGAGGGCGAGGGCCCACGAGGAAGCGGGGGCCGCCCCACCTCGTGCCGTGGCCCAGCGGGGGGCCCGCGCCCGAGCGGCGCCGCGCCGAGGCGTCTCGTGCGCGCTGCTCCCGCTGCGGTGGCGGCACTGGATAGCCGGGGGTGGACAGAACCTCCGCCCTTCGGGAGCCTTGAGACGGGGGTCAATGCAAACGGGGGTCAGCCAGAGCGCCCGATCTTGCAGGATCCTGCAGGGCCAGGGTCGCATTGACCCGGGTGTGGGTGCAGGATCCTGCAGGATCCTGCAGGATCCTTCGCATTGACCCGGGTTTGGGTGCAGGATCTTGCAGGAGTTTGCAGGATTTTGCAGGCTTGACTGACCCGGGTCTGGATTGACCCGGGTCAGAAGATCCCCGACGCCCTGCCACGTCGATTCGTGAGTTGTCCGTTCTCCAAGGGAACGAGCAACGGCCTGGCCTGTGCGCGCCGTAGTTTGGCATCGCTCGGCAGCTCTCGGAAGCGAGGGTGGTCAAAAGCGAGGCAGGTTCGTTGAGTCCCTAAATGGGGAAACAAAAAATGGCACCGCGCGGATTCTCGGATCCGCGCTGGACCCCCCTCCCTGGCGCGCGGAGCGCGCCAGGGGCGGCGCCGGAGGCGCCGCTGGGGGGCCCCCAGCGCCGATCCGAGAAATCCGCGCGGACCTCCGTGTTTTTATGTTGATGCAATTTTTCGCTCCCCTATTCTTGGTTCTCGAGAGGGCGCCACGGCCGTCATCTTCCAGGCTTGCGCCCGCCAGATTTGGGCCCGAGGTCGTTTTCACTAAACGACGTTTTGCTAAAGGGGGTTTTGCCCATCCCCGAGATGAGGAACCCTTGGACAAGTCCAGGCCATCTAGATGGGGTCGGTGTGGATGGGTGATCGGAGTTCGAGCCGCAGCGCCGATGCATCTGCGATGCTGCTCGCTGTGGAGCTTGATTTGCTCCACGTCGACGTCGCCGACGCATCGCCGACGTCGACGATGCGTCGCCGGTGCACCCCCGGTACATCGCCGACGTATCGCCGATGCGGCGCGAGCCTCGGACTCCATCTGCTCCGATCCCAGCCAGGAGGCCTCTAGGACAAGGAATCCAGAGCCTGGAAGCTGGTGCAACAACCACTGAGAGTTGACTAATTATCGGTATTGTCGTCTCCCTCATCAGATGAAGAATCCTCCATGTACTGGAGCCTCCTGGGCATATTCCTTGACGGACGCCCCCACCGCATGCTCCCCGAACTGGGCTGGGACGATGGCCAGAGTTGAGTCTTTTGCTCTCCCTTCCCCCTGGCTTCTGGCTGCCATGGGGGATGGGGCAATGCCGGCCGAGCTTGCGCCCTTCGTGGTCGCACTTTGGGATGGGGGCCTCGCAATTGGCTTTGCTGCGGCCTTCGTGCACTTCGGCACGGCGCAATGCCCGTTTATCGAAGACGCCCACGGCGAATCACCGCGGCCCCCTACCCTTTCGGTTTCGGAAACGCCGATGCGGCCAAACGTTTGGGGCGAGCCATTGAACAATGTGTTCCCCGAGCCGTTGTGGGAGCTCTTGGGGGACACCCTGGCAGATGAAACGAGAGAGCAGGTGGCGGAGGAGGAGGAGGAGGAGGAGGAGGAGACGGAGGAGGAGGAGGAGGAGGAGGATGTTGAAGAACAGAGCCTCTTGGGGGCCTGTTTGAGCCTTCTGGGGTTTTCCTGCCAACCTCTTGGGGATCTCTCAGGCCCCTCAGGGACCGTCTCGAGGCCAAGCAGGGAATCCACGGGGGCAGATCGGTAGGCATGGAAGGGCCGTCGGTAGGGAGTTGTCGCCCTTGGGAACTGCAGCATTCTTGCAGGCAATTCATTGGCCGAGTGACATGTCAATGTGGTGCGGGTAATCTGGCGGATGCGCCATGTTTAGATCAGCGGTTCACCACAGCACGACACCTCGTTTGTTAATGCAGCACACGGAAATCCTCACAGGCCCAGGAAGGCCATGTCGACGTTCTGCGAGCGGGGAGCGGCCAGCGAAAGCGCCCAAGGATGGGCCGACGGAGAAGGACGCAAGGGTAACCTTCGAGAGTCTCTCGGCCTTACTGTGCGGTATGACTGTGCTCCTTGACCCCGTCAACCTTCCCCACCGTGCCTCGCCCCGTCCTCCCCCTGCCCCCCCCCCCCCCCCTGAGGGGCTGCGTCGGGCGAGGGCACATGTGGCTTCCCAACCTGGCCGCCCCACGCGGACGCGCGAGGTTCTACTCCGACCTGGTGGACGAGCTCCTCGCGCACAACATCACCCCCTGGGTCCCTGCTGGAAGATGGCAAGGGACAGGGCAGGTGTCGACCTGCAGTAGACGCCCATGCCAAGACACACCCTGCTTGCCTCCAGGGTGCCCTAGGTTCCGTGGGTTTTAGATGGTTTCATCACGGAGAGCGTGACGTCCCCATACCAAAAAACGGACGCCCTGGGGTCTCAGGGTGGGGTGTCTTGTGGAAGGTTTCTAGTGGATTGGCCTCCTCTGCGATCTCGTGGGCCGTTTTCGTCTCGAGTTCGTGTTGCAGCCTGAAAGGTGGAGTGGAGACAAGACGAGGGGCAACGAAGGCACCGCGAAAACGAAACGCACTGTTTGGGCCGATCCCTGGGACAGAGAAGGGGCGGGAGGAAGGGAAGGAGGAGGCGGGGGCGGACGCCTGCATGTGCCAGGCACCGGCGCCGATCCGATCCGATCCCTCTTCTCTATATCACCCTGTCTTCCTCTCCCCCCCTCCTTCTATTGCAGTTCTCGTTTCAGTATCCCCACCCCATCTTCCCTCTCTCCTCCCGTCTCACTCCTCCTTGTCCGCATCATCCGTCTCCTCCTGCTCATCTTGCCCCTGCTTCAGTTAACCCGCCACAGCGAGAAGAGGGAAGAGGAATGAGGAATAAAAGGTGAGGAGGAGGAGGAGGAGGCGGAGGAGGAGGATTACCGCCATCACAAGAGTAGTTCAACACTGCATACTCGATGAGCACCGCGGCTGCGAAGAGCAGGAGGCCCCCTCGTGGAGCGAGCTGGGAAGCCAGTGGAAAACGAAACAGACGTGGTTCCGCCAAACGGGCCACTCCACCATGAAGACGCCCACTCCCTGCACCAAGGGCTTAAAGAACGCCCCCACCCTGGTTTACGAGGCGCTGTGCGCGGAAACTCCTGTGGGCTGACAGGATAAACCCTGTGTCATGTGCGGCGTCCTGGCGGCTCTAGGCTTTGGGGGTTCCCAGGAGGTTTGCAGACCGCGCACTTGTAACCCAGGGTAGGGCCGTTTTTTTCATCCCTCAATGCAAGCCGCGCCGCCCGGATCGGATCACGCAGCACGCACCCCCGGCGTGCCGCGCGGGCAGTGCGCACCCTGGCGCGCCCAAGGGTTCAGACGGTCCCGAGGCGGCGGGCGCGCTGCCCCCGCATCACGGCCTTATGTTTTACAAGCGCAAGCGGCCCCCTAAAAAAACAAAACAATGATACGAATAATCAAAAGAGAGAAGAAGGAACAAACAACAAAAAATAAACATAAAAAAACGCAAGCGGCCCCCTTTTTGGCGAAAGCGCAGGAGGAGAGGGGGAGAGGGGCGAGGGGAGAGATGGGGCAGGGGGTAAGACAGGCAGCCCCAGCCCCGGGCTGCGTCGCATCGGTCCCTCTGGCGTGCCTCGGGAGCAGGGTTACGACACCCGCCCCGCAGTACGGATGCCAGCACATCTTCCGCACTCGTGACGCGACATTTGCCTCGGGGCCGCAGAGGACGTCTCGGACGAGATGCCGACGCTTCGCGGAGGCCGCCTTCGCGGGGGCCCAGCGAGCCCGCCGACTGCACGCGGCCATACGGTGCATTTGTTTTGTTACTACATGCTCCGCGTGCGGGTCGTGTAATAAAAATGCAGGGGTTGAGTATTCAAAACAACGATGAGTTCATGCATACATTCATTCATAAATTGATCATATATTAAAAATCCGATATTCTTGAAAAGCCCATGTATTAGAAACTGCCCTGTACGGCGACGGCGCTGCCGTCGCAAGGAGCCTCCGTGGGGCACCACGCCCGCGCGAGGCCGGCCCTCCCCACGCCCGCCCTGGGCGGGGGGGGGGCCGGGAGCCTCTGAGCCGTGTGGCAGAAGGCACGTCAGTCCAGCCACATTTGGGGGAGTTGTGGTCCTTACAGTGCCGTTGTTGATACATGCTCCGCGTGCGGATCATGTATTGAAAGTGCAGGGATTTAGTATTAAACACAACGATGAGCTCATGCATAAAACTTATGCATAAATTAGTCATGCATTAAAATCCAATAATTTAAAAATCCTATGCACTACTGCCCTGTACCCCCCCTGGGGGGGCCCATCGATTTCGGCACCCCTCTCGAGAGCTCATCGATGCGACGGGTTCCCCTCGGGGGGTAAGGACCACAGCTCCCCCAGTTTCGAGCAGCGGCGAAGCGTCCTGGCTCGCCTATAGCCCTACCAAACCATGTCCGAAGAACTTTTGTGTGGTTCCCACGAAGTGTTCTCAGAACATTTCTGGCCGGGACTGTTTTGGTTTCACACATCGGGTTCATGTTCGAAGGGCATTGTTTTTGTTCTTGGAACATTTTTGGGTTCTACGACCATTCCGTGGTAGGACGACAGGAATGCCAGGACGGTCGGTCCCTGCTCGAGTGGTCCTTACCCCTCTCTTGGGGGGCCATCGATTTCGGCACCCCTCCTCGAGAGCTCATCGGTGCGATGGGTTCCCCTCGGGGGGTGAGGACCACAGCTCCCCCAGTGGTGGCTGGGAGGCACGTGCGCAGCACGGCACAGCGAGCGCGCCGAGCAGCATGAGCGCACCGCCTGCTGCCAGTCTCGAGCCGGGGTTGTGCACTGGGGACCGACCGAAGCCTCGAGACGAGCACATGGATCATCTGCAGGTGTGTGCAACTCGGCGGACCACGTCTGCTGCGGCTTGTCTCTCTCCCGCTTGCTGGAGGGGGGGGGCGGAGGTTGAGGAATGACGTTCTTTTTGAATGTACATATATATGTTTATATAAATACATATATCTATAGATAGCGAGACTCAAAGGGTGGCCATCTCCATGACAAGCCACACCAGAGGCATACATGAGTTGACGTTGCAAGATGGTGTCGATCAGCGTCATCCGGCGTGCTCGTGCCAGCACGCTCTCATGCGACACCCGGCTGATGCACGAATGCGGGATACCTGAGATTTCCCCGCAAGCGCATTGTTTGTAAGGCGTCGAAGCATGCCAGCTTGCCCCCCGTAAACCACGACGTGTCGAGTGTGCAAGTTGTACAAGAATTTCGTCTGCACGCAGGCTTCATGCGTGCATATTCCTGTGCAAGGGGATGCTGCTGCGGTTCCCCGCGCGGCGCAAGAGGCCTGCAAATAACACTAAGTCGGGCCTGTCCCTCTACAGGGGGAGTATTCGAAAATAGTCCAAAAATAGTTAGGGGATTACTTTTTTAGTATGTTCGGGGCATCTTTTGAGTATTTTGCTTGAGTATTTTTTATTTGTCGTCCAAAATCCCCCTGTCGGGGGACAGGCCCGACCTAAAAATGACAGCGTCGCGCCCCACGGAGAAGATTTACACCTTCCCCCAAAAAATGACTTGAAGCCGTAGTTGGAGCCCGCCTGTTGCACGGCCTGCGTGAGCTGCTTGGCGTGCCCAGGCGCACTCGCGATGACGAGGAGCGCGCCGTCCGCATGCACCGGCTCGCCTACCAGCCCCGCCGGGTCCCCGAGGCTGTCCTCGGCATCGCGCAAGATCAGAAGAGGGAAAAACACACAGACACAATCAGTCGTCGATTCCCGGGAAAACATAGGAAAATACGGGAAGTGGGGGGGAAGACAGGAACCCAGAACATATGGGGAAGTATAGGGAAATTTGTTATTTGTGTCTTTTTATTTGTGTGTCCTAGTTCCCCTTCACAAGAGCACCGTCAGGACCATCGCAAAGAGAAATGGTGATAACGAGCACACCAGGCAGAGGCCCGCTCTTGTTCCTCTCGCGATGTCGAGGTGTGCCCACACAGTACGTCACCTCGAAGCTTTGGTCGTAGTAGATGGCGCGTCAGGCGCCCAGCATCTCTGGCAGCAAGCCGAACAAGCGCAGCACTTCGAGCAGGGCACATGGCATCTGATTGTCAAATGCTTCTGCCCAGTCCAGTGCGAGAAAGATCAGCGGGGAGTATTGCAACGCACGGGACTCCTCCAAGAGGCGCCGTGCTCAGAAAATGATGTCGGCCGTACAATGTTTGGATTTGAAGCCGAATTCCGTCTGCCAGATTCAGGCCCTCGCTCTGGCGGTTTCAAGCGCTACATAATAATCATGGCGTCTACGTTGCTTCCAGCCTGCAGAAGACAATTCGGCCTGTTTATAAAAAATTGCGAGACTTTATCGGTTTTTCTGAATAGTGGAGTTACGCGAATTTCATGGTAGGCGTCTGGGACGCACCCATCTCTCTAGCATGCCTGACATAGTACAACAGCCCATTCCCTCCCTGGCCCGGCCTGCATGCAAATGGCTTTCCAAAGTTCGCCAGGGACGCCGTCTTGGCCGCATGCCATCTGGGCCAAAAAATGAGGGTTAGGGGGCCAACCCTGGCGACGAGGAGCAACAGTCTTTCCCCCCCGCCCACGTCGAACATCGCGGTTGCCCACAACCCTCGGACAGGCACAGACAGGGTGACGATCGGGCTGCGACCCGATTGTTGTCCTGTGAGAGGAGGTGGAGGAGGAGGAGGAAGGAAGAGGAGGAAGGGGAGGAGGAAGGGGAGGGGGAGGGGGAGGGGGAGGGGGAGGAGGAGGAAGAAGATGATGATGAGGACGAGGAGGAGGAGGAGGAGGAGGAGGGCCCCCGATATTTCTCAGCTCTGCTTTCTCCGACCGGAGGTCACGCTCTACCACTGGGACCTGCCCTCCGCCCTGGAGGCCGAGTTCGGCGGCTGGCTCGGCCCCAAGGACCCATCCGCGCCCCGGGCGCCGCCGGGCAGCGAGGCATCTAGGAGCCTCCAGCATTTCCAGCTGCCACTGCCCCCCCCCCCCTCCCTCCCCCCACGCCCTCCAAGTCCCCCCCCCTCCCCCCCCCCCTCCCCTCCGCGCTCCGCCTCACGTCTCGCCCTGCCCCCGCGTCCTCCCCTTTCCGCCCCCCTCTCTGTCACCGTGCCTCTCCCCCTCCTCCCAGCCTGCCCTTCCGTCGCGCGCGGGCCGGGGCGGAGCTCCAGAAGACCCGTGCGCGGCACCGCAGCGAGAGCACACGTTGGCCTTCTCTCGGACGGCCAAGGTCCAGAGGATCGAAACAGCATTGACTCAAGCAGTGGCGAAGCGTCCTGGCCTGCCTATAGCCCTACCAAGCAATGTTTTAAGAACCTTTCGTGGTTTCCACGAAATGTTAGAACATTTCTGGCGGAGTCTGTCTTGTTTGATCACATCGGGTTTGTGTTCTAAGAACATTGTTTTTGTTATTAGAACGTTTTTGGGATCTAAGACGATTTCGTGGTAGGACTATAGGAATGCCTGGACGGTCGGTCCCTGCTCAATTGACACGTTCACACATCAGCTGCTCGGTGCTCGAGTGCTCCTGGGCGAGGCTTAAGTTGTTCCAGCCTACGCATTTTAGTCTTGACCACCAGGAAGACGTTCGAGCACCAGGACCGCATCGAAACTCGGGGATGTTCACGTGTCGGCCCTTGGAAGGCGATACTCGTTCGATACCTCGCCAGCGTGTCGGGCAGGCAACGTTTCTATACTTATCTTGGTGCTCGAAATCATGTGTGGAATGTGGACCTTCAGTACAATTGAAGCCCGTGCCAAGAAACACCCTGCTTGCCTCCAGGGTGCCCTGGGTTTCTTGGGTTTGATGGCTTTGCCATGGACGCCGTGACGTCCCCACAACAATAATCAATGGACGTCCTGGGGTTTCAGGGTCCTGTGTCTTGTGGAAGGTTTCTTGTGGTCGAGCTTCTACTGTGCGCTGGGAACAACGTTCGGCTAGGACAGCATTTCGCCCGCTCTCGCGTGGCCTGTGTTGTTGCAGTTGTCATGCGATGCGGCATGCGGGGCGCCTAGGCGGGATTGCTGCGCTCAAGCCAAGATGTACTCGGAGCTTTGGCACGGACAGCAAGTGGCCCGTTCGCGCGCGGCCCCGCCCAAGAATACGCACCGCGCTGAGGCGGGAGCGCCATTCTCGGGCCGGGTCTGCGCGGCGCCGAGGCGGCAGCTATATACACACTTTCGGCCGGCCGCGTCGAAGGGTTGGCGAGCAAGCGTGTGCGCCGCGCCCCAGGGTTAAATCGAGCATGCCCCTCTACAGAGCCGTTTTTAATACATGCTCCGCGTGCGGATCATGTATGACAAATGCAGGGACTTAGTATCAAAAACAACGATGCGTTCATGCGTAATTGATTCATAGATTAATCATGTATCAACAATCCAATATTACAACATCCTGTGTATTTAAAAAACTGCCATGTGCAGAATGAATATTCAGGAATAGGAGAAACATATTGTGACGATGTTTCGTGCCCTTTGTGGCTGCGTTGCTCATGTTTGGAATGCTTAACCCCTGGTCTTCCAGCACCCGCCTGTAGGAGGGCATGCCCGGCCTGACCCCAGGGGAATGTTCGTGTTGTTTGGGGAGCTCTGGGCGTGGTGCCGAGGCGAGGGGCACATTTCGCGCCTCTCGCGAGCAGGGTGCGTTCCCCGGCCTGCACCTGCCACGCGCCGTCTGCAACGCCACGCGTTTTTGTTGCAGCTCCGATGCCCAAACGTCCAGGCCAGCAGAGCAGCGCAGAAAGGCGTAGAGTCACGTCGGGCATGTCCCTCTACAGGAGGAGTGGTCACGAATAGCCATAATATAGCCTTGTCACGATGAGTTGTTCTCTCATGTGCATTGTTGAATTTTTTTGTGTTGCATGTCTCAGGTTTCTGCCACATCCGCCTTCAGGAGGACATGCCCGATATAAGCGTAGGCCGAGTACTGTTCCTACATGTGGAGTGGAACCGCCTGGTCTGCATGATAAGCGGAATAGTAGCGCACATCGCAGTAGAGAATCTACAGGGGTGTGGGCTTAGTGGGCCCTTGGAAACGACAGGGCCGTTTTTTTTACCGGTTCCGTTTTGCCGTTTTTGTTGCCGGTTCCGACGCCGTTGTTTTACCGGTTCCGTCGCCGTTATTTGACCGGTGCGGGCTCCGGTTCCAGTCCTGGAGCCGTCTTTTTGCCCTTTCCATTTTCAAGGGACATTTTTTGGAAACGGTGAACAAAACGGCCCTGCCGCCTCCGGGTCCCACAAAGGCTCTAGTCCTCCTTCTTCTGGGGCATCCCCTCCCACGGCGAAGACATTCCTGCGCTCTTGCCCCGTCCCTGGGTTCAGCAGAGACCCGTGATCTACCCGTGTAGAGCTTCCATGTGCCATGAGCCCAGCCCTGAAGTGGGCCATGGACACGACAGGGCCATGGAAACGACAGGGGGCCCACGAGTGTGACCCGGCCGCGAGGGGGCAGGCCTAAAGGTTGACGCCAACACCAATATCGGCGGTGTGCCTCCACCGAGGGAAGAAGATCCCGATCTCGGTGATGGTGGCAACATTCTGGTTTCCAAGGTGACCGTACACCGAAATCTAGGATCATCTCCCCCCTGTGGAGGCAAACCCCCTGTGTTGGTGTTGGTGCCAATTTCTAGGCCTCCAAGCGAGGGCTGGAAGAGCACCCGCCCTGCCTTCCGAGCTCTGGCGCGCTGCCCCCCACGAGGAGAGGGTGACGGCGGCCTTCGGCGCCTACGCGCGGGCCTGCTTCGAGCTGCTGGCGCCGCCCCGCGCGCCGCCTCGCGCCCCGCCTCGCGCCTCCACAAGGAGGAGGAGGAGGAGGAGGAGGAGGAGAAGGAGGAGGAGGAGGAGGAGGAGGAGGAGGGGGAGGAGGAGGAGGAGGAGGAGGAGGAGGAGGCTTCAGTGAAGCTTCAGTGAGGTCGGGCGGGTCCCTCGACAGGAGGAAGATTCCAGAAATCGTCAAAGCACAGCCTGGGGACGATTTGTTGTTTAGTATTCTGGATCACCAGAGGCTCTTTCGGACTCCAACCTTATTCGGGGGCGGCAGAGAGGGGGGTGATGACCAGGGGGGGGGGGATGTCATGGCGTGGGCCATGATATTTCCCCAGATTTCAGGGCGCCTCTTCTTATTTCATCACGTCCCTGCCCCCCCCCTGGGCCGCGCACATGCCGTCGGTCATGATCCCCCCCCCCCCCGCCTCTTGGACACCCCCCTCTTGGCCGCTCCCGAACAATGAGGTCGGGCGGGTCCCTCTACAGGAGGAATAAAATTCCAGAAATCGTCAAAGCACAGCCTGGGGACGATCTGTCTTAGTCTGTTTGATTGCCAGAGGCACTTTCGGACCCCAACCTCATGAAACCCGCATTCGGGATACGCCTTTGCACCGACTGGACCCCCTCCTGGAAGGAGGAGGCGCGGGTCTGCTGTCCTTCGCAGCTCCTTTGTGCAAGAGCCAGGGCACGCGTGCCACTTATTATGTCTTGGTATTTCTTGTTCGTCCAACATGCGCCTGTAGAGGGACATGCCCGACCTAAGCTCATCTGCTGGCACAGCGACATCGGGCCAACCGCTTCGCGCGAGAATGGCATTACAGTGGAGACCCGTGCCAAGAAACATCCTGCTTGCTTCCAGGGTGCCCTGGGTTTCTTGGGTTTCGGTGGTTTTGCAATGGAGAGCGTGACGATCCCACACCAATGGACGTCCTGGGGTCTCAGGCTTGGGTTTCCTGCGGAGCGTTTCTCGTGGTCCCGCCCAATTTGTACGCACGTCGATGTTGATATGGGCCGGATTTGCACACCAGCGTCGGCATCTTCGGTGGGGTGGCGCGCACAATTGTATCAGCCCCTACGAGTTCGGCAGCACACGTGATTTGGGTTGGCCTTTCGCACCGTGCACCAGCAATTTTACATTAGGAGCGCTCGGTGGCACCATCAAACGCTGCGAAAGTGGAATCGTCTCTTTGAGGCCACGTGCTGGCAAGCGCGCACAAGCCAAGGACGACCCCACGAGGCGACAACCGTTCGTTCGGCTGCGAGCGAGGAAGAGAAGGCTCGGAAGTCTCCCAGCCTTCTGAGCGGGTATCTACGCCCTCTCCGAAAACACAAAACCTGTGCCCCGCCGCCATTTGAGACGACCGTCCCCTTGTCATTTTCCCCCTCGCTCGCCGCCGATTCTTGCCAAGGGGCGGCGGTGACGCAGGTCGGGCCAGAAGTACCACAGGGGTGCGGGGCGCGCGGGCGTTCCCTGCTCTTTCAAGGTGCACACGCGGGCGAGTGTTGGTCGTGCGCGAGCGCGGCGCGGCATTCGGTGTCGAAGCCGAGGTCGAAGGCCTTCGATGCTGTTAGAGTGGCGGCGTTCAAGGGGCCGAGTTCCATCCGTTCGAACACGCCAGCATGGCCATCCGCTCGGGCAAAGCCGCCATTAGCCAGGGCGCCATGGCGGAGGGCCGCGGTCTCCCACTGCTTGTGGAGCGGGATCGCGGGGAGGAGGAGGGCAGGATAGGACGGGGGGAGGAAGAGGAGGAGGAGGAGGAGGACGAGGAGGAGGAGGAGGATGAGGAGGAGGAGGAGGAATTGGACGAGGAGATGGGGGGGTGGGAGGAGAAGAGGAGAAGAGGAGGAGGAGGAGGCGGAGGAGGAGGAGGACCTTTCGACCTTTTGACCAAGCACAGGTCGTGCGGGGGAGAAGGAGGAAGAGGAGGAGGAGGAGGAGGAGGAGGATGAGGAGGAAGAGGAGGGAGGAGGAGGAGGAGGAAGGGGAGGAGGAGGAGGAGGAGGGAGGAGGAGAGGAGGAGGAGGACGAGGAGGAGGAGGAAGGGGAGGAGGAGGAGGATGAGAAGGAGGAGGACGGACGAGGAGGGGGGGGGAGGGAGGAGGTGGAGGAGGAGGAGGAGAAGGACGTGGAGGTAGATCGGAGGAGGAGGAGAGGAGGAGGAGGGGGAGGAGGAGTCAGAGGAGGGTGAGCAGGAGGAGAGGAGAGGACGAGTAGGAGGAGGAGGAGCAGGAGGAAGAGGAGAAGGGGAGGGAGGAGAAGGAGAGGAGGAGGAAAGGAGGAAAGAGGAAGAGAAGGAGGAGAAGGAGGAGGAGGAGGAAGAGGAGGAGAGGAGGAGGAGGAGGAGGAGGAGAGAGGAGGAGGGAGGAGGAGGAGGAGGGGAGGAGGAAGGGGGAGGAGGAGGAGGAGGAGGAGGAGGAGGAGGAGGAGGGGAGGGAGGAGGTGGAGGAGGAGGGTCAGGAGGAGGAGGAGGAGGAGGTGTAGGAGGAGGAGGGCGAGGATGAGGTGGGGACGAGGAGGAGGAGGAGGACGAGCAGGGGGGGAGAGATGAGGTGTAGGAGGAGGTGTAGGAGGAGAAGGAGGAGGAGGAAGCGGAGAAAGAGAGGAGGAGGGGGAGTCAGAGGACTGGGTGCGGACGGGGAGGATTGGGGCGACGAGCCTCAGGAGAGGGAGTATCGGGGAGTCGGGTGGGCAGCAGCGGAAAGGCAGGGGGCGGCAGGGGGAGCAGGATCGGGGTGGCAACGCACGAGCACGAGCAGCAGCAGGAGGGATGGGAGGAGTGGGAATGAATGCCAGTGGCACCACGAGGTGGGCGAACTTGGCATCGCTCGGACGTGTGCATGTTTTGGCAACTAATCTGTCATTGCGTCCTCGTTTGGAAGAGAGTACCCGAGTTACTCCTCTTCTCCTCCTCACCCCCTCCTTGGCCCTATTTGGAGCTCCACCGAAGACAATACTCACAACTGCATTACTCACAGCTGCATGTGGTTGGGTCCTTCGCCAGGCTACTTTCTCGGCGAGAACCGTCGAGGAGCATTCCAGATCATCGAGCAAGCAAACGGAAACACAAACACGCACGACACCGAAGCATGCATGGGGAATGCGCATCCGAGCGATGGCGGGCAACGGGGGAGCACTGGGAATCTGAGCGGCAGCAGGGCGAGAACGTGAAGGAGACGTGCAGCTGTGTCTGGCAAGAGAGGTGCGAGGATACACGTGGAGGCCGGCGGCGGGAGGAGAGGAGCAGCGTGATCAGGAGCAGGATCACGGGGGGGGAGGTGAAGTCACGGTGAGGAGGATGAGGGCGGCAGAAGGAGGGCGAGGACGCAAGGAGAGGCGGTGGGGGAAGACGGAGACCATGCGCCTGGAATGATCATGAGCCTGGGATGGTGAGAACAGAAAGCATGTGCAGCAGGAGAGATCCGTTGCCGGGAGTCCGGAGCAGCAGTTCGGGAGCGACACGTGGGAAGTTCGCGCAAGCCGGTTGTCGCGTTGGTTGGCCGGTCTTCTCACCAGGGCGACCGCGTCAAGCACTGGGTCACGCTGAACGAGCCATGGCGCCCCCGTGCCAGGATGATGATGAGAATCAGGATGTGAACATTCACACAGACACAATTAAGCGTCGAATCCTGAGAAAATATGGGAAAATATGGGAAGTGGTGGGGAAGACAAAAACCCAGAACATATAGGAAAATATGGGCGATCCTGTTATTTGTGTGTGTTTACTTGTGCGTCGCAGGGCCCCTCCAGAGAGGAGCAGGGCGACGGAGGAGGGCATCAGGATGATAAACAAGCACTCGCCAGGAAGGATGGCGAGGAGGCGGAGGAGTACACGCCGGTCGTTGACAGTAGGTATTTTTGGATTCCCAGATCCCAATATACTTCAAGCGCCTTCCTACTTCAAGAATCGACACGCTTATGCTGTGTTTTCCAATTCTCTCGGAGGACCAGGACCCAATCCACTATATCCGCATTCCTACTTAATGTTTCTACCTACTTCTTCCGACCGACGTGTAGTAGGGAAGAGGTTTTTCGGGAGGCGAAGCCAGAACAGATGTAGCAGGAGATGGGCAGGAGCAGGATCAGGAGGGAGGATGGTCACAGAAGGAGGGACATGGGCCAGGGATGGTGCATCAGCGATAGGTCCAGTTTGCAGCTGGTTCTGACAACCAGAACCGTCACTGCGTACATCTGCCATCCAGTCGTATGGGGCGACGTCGCATGCATTAGTTTGGCCAGTGTGGCTTTCGCGTTGTTGAACGTTCGTACCACTGTTGCACATGTGCGACACATCTGGCTGTAAGATGATGTTGTTGGGAATGCGGAATTATGATGCCAGGTTGTTGTGTCAGCGTAGCTCTTCCTGTTTTCGATGTCTTCCCCACCTCCTGTTTATCTGACATGTTCCTCTCTCCTTATCATTATATTCCTCTTTCCTCATCCAAGCCCCGCGTCTTGAGGTTGACCTCCCTATTCGTTCCTGCCTGCAGGCCCTTCCCCGCATTAGTTTCACCTTGCCTCAGTTCATCTTGAATCGACATGTACGTTCGCCGCGATCTTTCTGTTCTGTGTACCTCAACAACGTACGTATGTCAGATAGAGCGTGGCACGTTGAACAGTCCATGACGCATCGTTTCATGTGGAGCTTCCCTTCCTCTGCCCCCCCTGCTCCTCGGGGAGGCGAAGGCGAATGCGGGGAGGAAGGGGCCTCGAAGAGGGGATCTCCTACAGAGCTGCTTCACCCCAGAACTTCATATGGTCGTCGAAGCTGCAAATCAATGCGTAGCATCTCCGTAGACCTGCTGCGAGGTTCAAGAGCATTGGTCGCTGCTTCGACGAACCAGTCAAGTTTTTGGTCAATGAGTTCTGCAGTCGACCCTTCTCCTCCTCCTCCTCCTCCTCCTCCTCCTCCTCCTCCTCCTCCTCCTCCTCCTCCTCCTCCTCCTCCTCCTCCTCCTCCTCCTCCTCCTCCTCCTCCTCCTCCTCCTCCTCCTCCTCCTCCTCCTCCTGCTCCTCCTGCTCCTGCTTCTCCTCCTCCTCGACTCGAAAGCCGACGCCGCGCCGCAGCGTTGAGCGTGGCCTCTCGCGGCACCCGCGCGCGCGGTCTGCCGCCGCGGGTGGCCCCCGGGAGCGCCGGAGGGGGCTGCCATGTCCCGCCGCACCGGGCCATGGCGCTGCAGGTGCGCCTCGCTCCGTGGGAGGGAGGTTCTGTGGGCAAAAAAGAGCAAAACAAAAAGCACACACACGCACACACACAACAGTGGGAAACAAACACACACACACACACACACACACACACACACGCACACACACAACAGTGGGAAACAAACACGCACAGTGTGAACAAATGAAGAAAAAGCGTTTCTGCTTGGTTTTTGTGTGTGTGTGTGTTTTTCCCCACAGTGTTTTTTGTTGTGTGTTTTTGTGTTTTTTTTCCCCACGGACGCTTCCGGACATCCCGACAGTGACATGTGCAAGCACCGATTGCCTTCAGACGGGGGTCAATGCCACCGGGGTCAGCCAGAGCGACGGGTCTTGCAGGATCTTGCGGAGCCAGTGTTGCATTGATTCGGGCCTGGGTGCAGGATCCTGCAGGATCTTGCAGGACCTTGCAAGGCCTGACTGACCCGGGCTTGGATTGACCCGTGTCAGCAGTTTCCCGAAAATGCCATTGAAGCAGTGTGGGGAGCGACGAGGAGAAGGAGGAGGATGAGGAGGAGCAGGCAGGAGTGATGATACGGAGGGGGGGAGCAGGACAGGAGTCGCGTGAGTGGGGGGAGAACGGGGGCGACGGATGACCAGGCGGGCGAGGAGGAGGTGGAGGAGGAATTAGTGTAAGCCCAAGACTCATCAAGGATGTTTGGATTGCACTTTCCCTCCAAGCTCCCTCTTCATAGGCCCTTACAAGGTTTTATTTTCACTCGGGAATTGCTCCGTAGGGGGACAATCGTGTGAAAATCCTGAACCGTGCCAACATGTTCTCACGACTTCAACGCCAAGGGTCAATCTGACTGGCACGTCTCGGCGATCCTGAAGCGTGCCAGAGCACCATCCCTGGGATTCCAACACCGCGAATCAGCGTAACTGTTATGCCCTGGGCAGATGAATCGTTCCCAAACGTAGATTTTGGTACATTAGTCATGCGAATCAGTTAAACTCTTCTGTTTCTGTGTTTATAGCAAAAATGAAAGACGAATGTGCGTGGCTCTAAGGCGAGAGCCATACTTTTTCAACGAACCGCCATCAATCCGTGAAGTGTGTGTGCAAAGTTTGAATTGAATGCGCACGGCGCTACGGCGGTAACCTCATTTTGAAAACGAGCCGCCATCAATATGTGAAGCTATTTCAAATTCTACGAATATGCACGGCGCTGAGGCGAGTGCCGGATTTTTTAAACGAACCGCCCTCAATCCGTGAAGTTCTTGCAAATTGCCTAACAGGTGTCCGCGGCGCTCAGGCCATAACCACATTTTGAAAACGAGCCGCCTTCGATCCGTGAAGCTCTTGCAAATTGTCGAAGCGAATGTTCGCGGCGTTGAGGCGAGAGCCACAGTTTGAAAACAAGTCGCCCTCAATATTTGAAGCTCTTGCAAATCTATCTAACAAATGTGCGCAGTGCTACGGCACCAGCCCTCCATTTGCGAAGCTGTTGCCAACGCCGAAGCTTCAGGATCTTGAGTTGTGCGGAAGTCTCAGGCGAAACGCCCGGCCCGCCTTTTCGACTGACCTCGGGGTGCGACAGTGAGGAGTCATTTATGAGGACACGCAGGAGAAGGAAGAGGAGGAGCGGCAGCGGTAGGAGGGGGGGATCTGTTCGGCCGCCCTCAGCAGGGTGTGATTGCGTCCAGCTTCACACCTCGCGTGCGCGACGAAGTGGGAGTGCCCTCCCCTCCATCCTGCCCCCTCGCGGCCGCTTTCGCCCGTCTTCTCTTCCTCCTGCCGCCAGTTCATTTGCGTTTTTTTCCGCTGTCTGGCCCGCCTGAGCGCGTTCGGATCGCCTGTGCCGCGCTGCGACGTACAACATGTGAAGCAGTGGGCTCCAGTGGGGCGCTCGGATCGGCCTGCGGTCCTGGGGTCGGTTGTACCGAACTGGCCCCTGGCCATTGGAGGAGCAGGTGGAGTAGAGGGCGGTGAGGGGGAGCTCGAGGGAAGGGGAGGGCGATGTGCTGGAGGCGGCGCTGGACGGGGGAGTGCGATGAGGCACGGTAGCAGGAGGGGGAGGGGGGAGGGCGGCGAGGAGGAGGGCCGGCGGCGGCGAGGGGAGGACGCGCACCGACGCGCGAGGGCAGCCCTGGACAGGGGAGGGCGCGAGGAGCAGCAGCAGGGCGGGGAGCCCGCAGCAGGGTGCGAGGCAGGTGAAAAACCCGCGCCTCCCTTGCCGCTGGGCCGGCCGTCCGCACTCCGCCCCCCCCCCCGGCGCCCGCCCCGGCGCACTCCTGCGGCGGTCGCCACGCGCCACACCTTCGGAGTGTGCGCCCGGGTGCCGGGTTGTGAATTTCTGTGTGTTTTGTACGCGTCTCCGTGTCGGCGCAGCTTCTCTGTTCGGTCTCGCGCTCGTTGCGTTGAAGACGACGAGAGGACAAGTGAGGAGGAGGAGGAGGAGGAGGAGGAGGAGGAGGAGGAATATCAAGCGTCGTGTCCAGGCGGGACAGGTGACGGTCGTCTCCCATGTTCGGGCCGGGCGAAAGGGGGCATTGGGAAAGGGGGGGTTACGAAATTTGCTGCATGCAGCTGGTTTCGGCCCCACCGAGGGGCCCATTCCTCGATACATGGCCGCCTCCCGGCGCCGGGAGGCGCCGGGAAAATCAGCTGCGTGAGCTGATTCTCAATACCCCCCCTTTGCCTTTCGCCCGACCCGCGCGTGCCGCTGCCCCCTGCGGCCAGCTTGCTGCCTGCGGGATCTGCGGGCGAGACTCCGGCGATCGCAGGCAGTGATCGGGGGGCGTGGATTGGCGACGGGTCCCGCTTCCATGGGAGATCGCGGATTTCCGCCGCCGAGCGAGGCGGCACCGGCTTGGGGAGGGCACCTCCCCCGATCCATGGACCATGGATTTGGCGACCGCGCGCCAAATCCATTGAAAGTTAGCCATGTTTGCGCGCCCCCGAAAGACGATGCTCGTCCCGACTCCTGTGCGGACACAGCGGCGGATAAGAGTTTTTTCTGCGGTGAATCAGCCAAGCGACCGGGATGCAATTGGCGGACTTGGCGCGAGAGGTCGGGTGCAACAGGGATGTTCTGGATTTGCGGGCTTCACGACTGCAGCTGGGTAGCCGAGGATTTGGAGTTTGCGAGCAGGCACACGTGGTGGCGTGATACCGTTGCAACTGTACGACCAGGAGCATTGAGAGTAGCATGGGCAGCAGCAAGTCCTGGCAGAGCAGGAGGAGAGCGATGGAGCTCAGGGAGATTTTCTTCCTGGCGAGGGGGGTAGCAGGCTCATGAGGAATAAGAAAATGATCATTGGGATGAGCGAGGATGGTGGAGGCAGGATGTCACGGCTCATTTCGAGTCCTCCGATTCGGTTCGATTCGACTTCGATGGATTCCGATTCCGATTCGATTCGATTTCAGACTCCGATTAGGGCTCCGATTTCTCACTGGAGGTCTACAAGCCTGCCGATGTCCGCCGATTCGCCTTTTCCCGAATCGGCTGCCGATATCCGCCGATCCGATTCATTTCGATCGCCGATCCGACTTCTCGATTCGATTCTGGGCTTGCCTGGGATGTGACAGAGAGCAGCAGGAGAAGTATGATGGGGGTCAGGCTGTCACGGCGGTCGCTGTGCACGCGGCGACCTTCCGCAATGTGGACCTCCCACACCAGGCTTTTGGCCGCAGTGGGGCTTGGCCGTACCTCCCCTCCAGCTTCTGTGGCATGCTCGGACCGACGCTGTCCACGCACGAGCAATTCGCCGCGCCGCGCCCCCTCTAACTAGGGAGAGGAATTCGAAAGGTGGAGGAGAGTGAAGGGTGAAGAGGGCTCAGGGAGGGGGGGTGAATCCGCTGGCGATGGCAGGACGCATCCCAGTTCTGCAGTGGGTCGGTGGGCGCTGGAGGATGATGGGGAGGACGGAGAGGTGGGTCGCGGGGTGGATCGCGGGTGGGTCGCGGTTGGGTCGAGGGGGGGGCGCGGGTGTGTCGCGAGGTGAGTCGCGGGTGGGTCGGGGGCCGGGTCGCGGGGGGGACGACGACGATAACATCAACAGGCAGAATCTTCACGGATCCGGACTTCAGCCACGCATCCAAGGACAATGAATGATTGTTCGGCCCTCTCTTTCTAATTACCCCCCAGTGGGGCCCCAAGCCAATTTTGCTGCCATCGATCTAGGTGCAAGTAACAAACTATTGTCCGTGTTCGTGGGCGCCATGACCGTCGCGCGTTTGTTTGCGAGGACTGCGACGCCAGCGGAATTGCCACGCGCCCCCATGAATTGAGCTGGTGCCTCCGTCGTATGCCATCCAAGGTGAAGGGCCATCGCCTTGACATCGGGAAGCTTGTTCTGAAGAGCGTGGTGCACCTGCACCTGCGGCCTAGACCAGATTATCTCATCCATCAGCGGGCGCTGGGGCTCTGCAATTCCCGGAATCGATTATACGCGTCTTCGTCATTGATATACCAAGATCAAACCAATACAACAAGCCAAATGCCAGACACGTTCCCATTGTTGCTTCGTCCTCAGTTGTTCCCCAAGTGATCCATGCTCTCGGCTCCACGCTTTGCTGCTTCATGTAGGTCGTCTTCTGCGCCTGATACCTGTGCGCCCATGGCCTTCAGCAGGCGCTCCAGGACTTCGGGATCCTCATGGCACCTGAAGTTCACCGAGGAGGAGGGTGGCGCTGGTGAGCCGGTAGGCCCATCAGCAGGAACCGCAGGAGCGCCGCCAGCAGGGGCGACAGCAGGCTACGGCACCTGCTTTTCATTTGCGCGAAGCATGGCAATGCATTCCTTGAGCTTGCCGTCCAGGATGTTGACGTCGGTCTGGGCAAGGCCTTTGGCCTTGAGTACTTGGCCCAGCTCCTCCACCGAGGTCCCCGAGGCCTCGAGTCGCTGGAGCTCTCGGTTTCTTGGCCAGCACCTGCTCGAGTCCTGATCTTTCTCCACGATCGTTTGTGCAGTCTCCTGCGGACTTCTGCCCGGCAGTGGGCAGGTGCCTGGTCGCATCCTCCTGCTCGAGTTTGGCCCGTGCCAGGACGCCCTCGAGGGGAACGCGCTTCTCCTCGAGCTGGTTTTATGTCGGGCGTGTCCCCCTACAGGGGGATTTTCGATGAACAAAAAATGTACCCCAAAAATACACCAACAAGGACAACAAATATTCAAAAAATAGTCCCCAGACTATTTTTGGACTAGTTTTTGGATTATTTTGGGTATATGTTTTATTTTTCGTCGAAAATCCCGCTGTAGGGGGACAGGCCCGACTGAAAGCTGGTTCTCCTGGTTGACCGCATAGTGTGCCCGCCACTCGACAGGCCGAGCTGCGCGCGGCTTGGACTGGCAGGCGTCGCGGTGCCGTTCCAAGTGCCAGCTCTGCTCCTCACTGATCTCCGACGGCGGTTCCTCAGTCGACGCTAGGAGCGTCGTTTCCGCCAGTGCCAGCTCTCATTTCCATGTTGAGTAGTTTTTTTGAGCGCAGCGCTGCTTTCGTCCACTTCCATGCGGCCACTGTTCCTTCTCGTTCGTGCTGTGCAGACAACTGGGTCTGGTACAAAGCCAACTGCTTCTCGAGCGGCTCCTCACCGGTAGACCAAGAGGTAGCCTTCTTGAGACTGGTGTTGGATGGAGCGTTGACAGGCAACCTGACCGAGCAAAAGGCGACGTTCTGGTTGCATCCGCACTGGCCACATGCTTTGGCCATAGCGGCGTTTCACCAGCGTTCCCCAGTCCTGTGAGCAGCATTTGCAGTTTCATTGTGGTGCCCAAGCCGTGCGACGTTGCTGGGAACGACAAAGGGAAAGCCAGTCTGCGACTCTGTTGGGTTGCAGGGGGTGCTCGGGCTCACTAGGCACCGCGAGAGGGATGACAGCTGCCGTGGACTAGCAGTATCCACTCTGCTCGTAACGGGACAATCGATGTTGAACCAAGACGGGTAAGGATGAAGTGAGGGAGGGTGGTTGAGGAGGCGGAAGCGGAACATAATACATTAGTCTGACAATTGGGGAGGGTTCTGAAGGACATGTTCTCTCGAGTTCCGTCCGCTGGGATAGGGTCGAGTCAAATTGCATCGATCGCTCGGCTGACATCGGCGCCCGATCCACCATGTACTTACGGCCTGCGTATCATCGCCTGGGTGCCAGGATGATGAGCCGAGGGTGATTTGACATTAGAAGAGCATCATAACGAGGTGGAGCAGGAGTTTGAGGCAGATGATGGTCATACTGATGATGAGGAGGAGGAGGACGTGGAAGCGAGGGGGACCACTACCCTGAAGAAGCGATCATCCATACTCTGTCTAGCGCGCATGCTTGACCAACTTCGCCAGCTTGCTCTCTACTCCCTCCTTCCCTCCTGATGCCCCTGCACCTTACCCCGCTTACCTCTCTCCGCCCCTCTCTGGCTTCCTCCTCCCTCGCCTCCACGTGCTTGTTCATACCCCCCTTCTTTGCCCCTTCCCCCCTCCTACCCCGTGTGGCCAACCAGCGATCACACCTGCGACTCTTATGAGCTCGACACGCGCCAGAGCGCGCGTGCATTCGTGATTGTCTGCCGCGGATGTCGACCTCACATGGGGCATCCGTTCTGCATGATTTCGTGCCTTGGGTTGGCCGTTGGTGCGATGTGTTTCGTTCTTGTTACAGCGGTGATCTGTCTCACGGGATCGCGGCTGTTGCGCGGACGCATCTGATCAAGAGTTGTTGTCTGGGTTTTGTCGCGGAGGTGGCAAGGTCTCAGCGACGGCCGGACTGTCAACAGAGACGGCAGGGGACGTCGGGGGGGTGAGGGGACGAGAGGGGGGATCAGAGGATGGATGGGGTGGGCGGAATAAGGAGCCGGATGCGTAAGAATGATGAAGTGGTGGTGGACGATGATGTGGTCATGGGGGAGGGAGAGAGGAAGGATGGTCTGCCACGCTTCGACTACGGTTCCCTTGCCGTGTGGGCGAGATTGCTGCCTTTCTTGCAGAGTCTGGCCCCTCTGCAATACTTGATGGGTGAGCGCGGGCCGTTTGTCGCGGCTGGCAGTGTGTCGCGGGCTCCGCGCCAGGGACTCTACCACCTGTGCTGCTGCCTGTCCCAATGCAGGGACGGCCGCCTGTCCCCGTGCGTGCCCCACATCCTCCCGCCGGAGAGGCGCCGCTGCCCCCCCCCCCGCTCCACCCCGCCCGCATGCACCCAGCGGGGGTGAGGAAGACGAGGAGGGCTAGGGGGATGGACGAGCCAGGGATAGGAGGAATAGGAGGAGGAACGGAACTGGGGGATAGGGAGTTGGGGCGAGGAGTAGATGACGCACCGTCCAGAGCGAGTACCCTATGTGAATCCTGCGCCGCTGATGACGACCCCACGAGGACTGGATGGGTCTTAGGGTCGGCTTGGTATGCCAGGTTCGATTCTGCATTCCAGTGTTGTCGATAGTGCCGAGGCGGGTTGTCGAAATCCAGCTTACTTAATTCCTCACTCTTATCAAGAAAGCTCCCCGTCGCACCGCCAGTCGTGTCGGTTAGGGCTGTCTGGTTTGGCATGCGATGTGTTCTTTGTTGGTGGTTCGAAGCTCGAATGGAGGGGGCACCGCTTTCAAAATCTGGCTCTCGCTGTCGTGCCGTGCCAATCCAACGGCGTGCGGCGAACCCCGCCGGCGTGCCTGTGGAACAGCGCAGCAAGAGGTAGCCTGAGTGCAGGAACAGCGCCTCCGACGTGTAGTCTGCATTGGGGCGGGTCGTGATCCCGACCTCGTCTTCGTCCGCGCGGTAGGAAAGAGGAGGAGGAGGAGGAGGAGGAGGGGGAGGAGGAGGAGGAGGAGGAGGAAGAGAGGGAGAACATGTAAGCCTTCTTGGGGCCTTCTTGGGTCTTCCCGAGGGCCTCATGGGGGCCTTGTGGGGCCTCCTTTTGGGGCCTCTTGGGCCGTCTCAGGAGACCCTTGGTCCGTCTGACGCCTATGGGGGCCCCCTTGGGGGCCTCGGGCCCTCTCGGCAGCACCTTGGTCGATTGTTGGGTCCTCTTGGGCCGACTTCGGGCCCTCTTGGGGGCCGTTTGGGCTGCCGTGGAGCTGTCTTAAAGGCTTCTTGAAGGCTTATTGGGCCGTCTTGGGCGGTCGGACACTCGAGTAGGTGAGAACCCCAACATCTGTCAAACATCTGGACTAATTGTTTTGGCCTCCTCAGGTTCTCCAGGAGGGCCTCTTGGAGACCTCTTGGGCCGTCTTGATCTGTCTTGAGGCTGCCTTGCCTCGTGAGCCGTCTTGGGCCGTCCTGGCCATCTTGGCGTCATCTCGGTTGCCATAAACGCCGTCCTGGAGGCCATACGGTCCCCAAAAGGGCCTCGAGACCCCAAGACGGCCCAAGAGGTCTCCGAAGAGGCCATCCAGGAGAGTCTGGGGAGGCCGGCCCCACGGAGTGCCCTTAGGTGTTGGAGTCGTTCTGGGGTTCGGGTATGTGTGGGCTCACGACCGCCCAAGGCAGGCTGATCTGCCTGTCCGTAGCCACGTTTTGGCTCAAGCAATTCGGGCTCAAGCCACGTGGCTCAGGCCGTTTCATTTCTGGAGTTCGGGTGGTTCCGCGTTTGCTTAGATGGTCTTTGACGAGGAAAACTTTGATACGTCGATGATCGACACTCAGGAACACTGGGACTCTTGCGCGACCCTGTACCAGCACCATATACTGGTGCACTCACAGGGCGCGACCAGGCCGTGGTATTATTGCGCCTTCGTGTGGTATCCATGCATCGCCAATGTCGTAGCAGTTGTAGTGGTGTTTTCTGCCCACTTCTCTTTCTTCTGGGACCCAGTGCACATCTGCGCGTCGAGTCACCTGAGCGTACCTTCGTCAACTACCTCAGAAATCCCCGCGCTGCACAGGGATAACTCCGACCCGTTTACCAGGTCTGTCTGGGTGGTTTGCGTGATAGTTCTCTCCTCATCCCTCTGCTTCGCGTTTGGCCCTTTGAGGGACATTGCCAACATCAGCTATCGGTCTTTCCACTGGCTGGTATTCGGCGCATTGAACCGTGGGGTTAGTTTGTACGACGTCACACCTGACCAATTGGCTACTTATTGTGTCTGGTGTACGCGAATGACTAAACAAATCCGGCAGACCGTCATTGTGTTGATGAGCATGGCGCTGGCAACCTTCGGCATCATGTCGCGGCCAAATTGGGAAACCACACCTTGCGACGCGGCAATTAGTCCTGAGGTTTCGGCGCAGCAGATGTGGCATTCGATCGCCGTGCGGTTGCTAGTCCTAGTGCCCGTTTGCGGTGGGGTGTATGGAGCTGGCCATGCTGTTTACTACACTTCATGTGCGATCGACCAGGATGTGTTTGCTTTGTATCTTCCAGCTCTCCTAACACACCTACTCGTATGCCTTCTAGAGCTTACTGGAGCCGTCTTCTTCTTCCTTATGATGGGACAGGACCACGACCTGGACGAGTTCTGTCCCACAGCCACGACAATGAACAAGACGGATTCGTACTACGTGTTTTGGGCAGCGGCCCAAAGATCTTTTGCGCACGAAGCAAAAGCGTTGAGTTGTTGCTCTTCGGGCTATGGGTCAGATCATATGGCGATCTCGGTCTTAAACTTCTGTTAGTGACGACCTCAGAGTTCGTTCAGGACTTGACTTTCCCTGACCGGACACTACTCATTAAATGGGTTCTGCATGTTGTGGTTTATTGGGGTGCGCATGTAGTCTATTATTTCGCGTAGAAAGCGAGTGTGCGTGCACCATAGTCGGGGCAGGAACCCTATGATGTTTGCAAAGGCGGCGCACATGCCGCGTGGGGCTGCACTGCTTTCAAAAGCAGCGCCGACGCATTCTGCGAAAAAGCATTTTGACGGCGCAGTGTGTCAGGACAGGTGCACACATCAAAATACCATTCCAAGTACAAGATGTTCAAGGGCCGCGCTATGCTCGGCAGGCGCTGCATCTGATTGTTGGCTCTTATCTGGGGGACGCAGCGGGATGGTTTTTCCCACAGGGTCCCGCTGCATGCTGCCGCCGATCAGATTGAGCTGCTGCAGGGATGCTAGTTGCCTCTCTTCTCCCCTCTTCTCCCTGTCCATCTCTCTTTTCCAATCTCTCTCTCTGCCTCTTTCTCTCTCTCTCTCTCTCTTTCTCCGTGCCTCTACATCATCACATTTACTGTGTCGAGCTTGTATTACAAAAAAGGCAGGCTACGATGCCTGTGTGGGCCGTCTTTGGGTCATTGGAGGTTGTTGGGGGCCTTGAGCTATCCAAAAGGTCCTTTTGGGGGCATGTTGGGTTGCCTTGGACCTATCCTGGAGGCTTGTGGAAGCCTCTTAGGCCGTCTTGGATGGTCAGAAACCCGAACAGGCAACCTCAAACTCCTTCAGACAACCACGGGCAATCAGTGGTGTTGGCCCCCTCGGGCTCTCCAGGAAGAGCTCTCGGAGCTCTCTCGGGCCGTCTGGGGGGCCTCTTGTGCCGTCTTGAGGCTCTCTTCGGCTATCTTGGGTCGTCTTGAGGCTGTCTTACGAGGCGCTTGAACTGCCTTGGGCCATCTTGAGCAGTTGTGTTGTCTGGGCTGCCTTGGAAGCTGTCTTGGAGGCCATCTTGGCCGTCTGGAGGCCGAGCAGACCGCCAGACAGCAATTTCATGCGGGCTTTTTATGCGATGCGTGCTGCGATAGGGGTGTGCCTTAGTTGTTTCCATTCCAAAGCCTCCCAGACAATATAGAAGCATTCTAACTCGCACACCCCGTGCAGGCACGGTGTCGGATAAGTGTTGGCAGTGCACGTTTCCAACAGCTATGCGGATGGAAGGCGGTGAGTTCAAAATCAAGCCATTAGTCTAGCACCATGCGTAAGCAGTTGTCGACACAGTGTTTCATGTATACGGCCATTGATGTTCACACAGCTTGAACTGTCCACATTGTTTCAGTATGAATGGATGTGTTCTCCTTCGTCAGCATCGGGCTCGATGTCTCGCTTGAGCCTCCATGGCACTTGTGTTCTGGACAATGGCATGCTTAGCGAGTGCTTCCTCTCTGTTTCAAACAGGCTAGTGTCCGAACGCTTGAACCGTTTAGCATATGCATGGACAGGGGGGGATCCATTGTCAATATCGCACTTTGAACTCGGCGCCGTGCACGCCTCCCTTGAATCTTCTACCTGCTATAAGCATGGATGGTGAGTTCTTATCGAACCGCGTTGACAGTTGTAGCGTTACGCGGCCGAATCTCAGTGTGGTCGCCGGTTCACATGTCATAGCGGTCGCCTCTCGCTATGCATTTGCAAGCGCCCTCAACCTTTCCAGCGGTGGCTCGCCAGACTGCAATTTCTCGTTGGTGTTGGAACCTGGGGATTGGACAAGAGGCAGGGTGGACGTGCGGGTTGTAGCGTCGGTTCCGCCTGCTGTGGTTATTCCAGACCTCCCTGTCCTGCCATCGAATTCCAGACAGGCTCAGCGCTGCAGCCGGGGACATCTCAGGTGCGGCGTGTTCTGCGAGTGACCAAGCTATCTCACGAGCCCCCCTCTGGGCCACTCTGCGAGGCTGGGTGGAAGCTTCTCTGTCGGCAGCAATCCATGGCAGCCTGGTATACCCTCTAAATTCTGTCTCTAGCGTCGACTAGCGTCGATTAGCGTCTTGGAGGCGATGAGACAGCGCCGATTTAGTGTCGTTCAGCGTCGACTAGTGTCGATCAGCGTCGCGTTAGCGTCGAATGGCGCCGATCCGCAGGAGCCAGCAAGAGATGGTCATAGGTTGCCACCGAAATTTCCTGTGATTGCCTTGCGGCCCGCTCTGTCGGAGGGCTGCTCGCTGCGGCCTCGCACCTGCAGGAGGGGCATGGAGGACACTCTTATAAGCGCGAAGAAGCCCTGTGGCACGAAGAGAGGGGGAGAAGGGGAGGGGAGGGGGAGGGGGAGGGGGAGGGAGAGGGGCATGGAGGACACTTTTCCGAGCGAGGGGCCGATGGAAGGGCTGCGCGCTCGGGGTTCGGGGCCTCGGGCCCCTCTCAAGGCGTGCGACGGTCGTGCTCTCGAGTGGCGCGTTCGCGGTGCCGCCCAGCTCGGCGGTGCGGCCAAGCTCGGCGGCGCCTAGAGCAGCAGAGTCCGTGCCTGAGCGGTGCTGCCGCTGCTGCTCCTGGCCCCCTGGCCCGTCGGCGGCCGTGGCGGCGAGGCGCAGGGTCTCCCGGGCTGCCTGCCGGCCCCGTCTTGAGCTTCTTGCATGGGACCTGCTGCAGTAGTGTGTTCGGGTCCCTCCCTCCTCCTCCTCCTCCTCCTCCTCCTCCTCCTCCTCCTCCTCCTCCTCCTCCTCCTCCTCCCTTCTCCTTCCTCCTTTCTCCCTCCTCCCTCCTCCTCCCTCCTCCTTTCTCCTCCCTCCTCCCTCCTCCCCTCCTCCCTCCTCCTTCTCCTCCTCCCTCTCCTACTCCTCCTCCTCCTCCTCTTCTTCCTCCTTATCCTCCTCCCACGGCGGCGACCCCGCCGCCAGCGCTCAGCGTTGAACGCCGCCGGCGATCCGGAATCGGTTGATGCTGAGTGATCTGACGATTCGAAAACGGTCGATCGTGCAAGGTTGAACGTCCCCTGCGGTGTCAGGAACCATCGCCGAAGTCCGCACGACACGAACCTGCCCTACGCCTGCTCACCGTCAGGACGGGCCAGTGGGAGGTGATGACCAAGGGGAGGTTGGACACCTGCATCGGGGAACTCCTGCCCTGCGACCATCTTCGCTTGGGCCAGCGCCTCCTTGACTGGATGGTGAGTTCACCACAGCATCTGCATGGCCGCCAGCCGCTTCCAAACATGGACAGCTACCGCATCTAGCGCCAGCGCTGGTTGCCAGAGCGCGTCGGGTACTGCCCGCCAGGTGGCAGCGGCGCATGCTAATTTATCGGTTTGCTCCCTCTTGTTGCTCTACTCTCCAGGGATGTCCGCGAGCACCTTCGATTATGGTTTCTGACTTCTGTGGGTGCTGTGTTTGTGTCCTCGGATCAGGTACAGCGAATAGGGGACAATGATGATGTGAGGTACCCGTGGTTGTGCTTCCATTTCTCCACGGCCCTTGTGAGTTCCGCCCGATCTAGTATCTGCACCCCACTGCATTCCCCTGGATGGGGCCTAACCTCACCAAATCATCGGTCCCCACCGCCGCACCCCATCCGAGTCGTGGATCCGTCGAGACCCGCCACTCGACCCGTCGACTGCATCCAAGAGCCACCAAGGACGCGGCTCAGGCGGGGTCTGGAAAGCACCTGTCCCGTGTGCGACGGAGTATTTAGCTCCTGTGTCTTCTACTCTCGCAGGTCAAGCTGAGCCTTGTTCATCCCTTCAGGCCGTATCTACGATGTCTTGGGTGCTTTGGATCAGCGGGTGGCCCAAGACAGCAGCGTATGCTCTGGACCTACATGGAGCAGCAGCGGGCAGCTACAGAACAGGTGCTTGTGATCGCAGCAGTGGTGGCCGCAGATGGGGAAGGTGGCGTCCTCCTGGCGGCCGCCCTCGAACTGACGCGGCGGGCTCCACGTCGAGCTGCCGCAGGCGGCCTTGAGCGTTTTGACCAGTTTCCGCGGGCTGTCCTTGGAAAGACGCTCGATTTGCCACGGGGTGATGATGTCCGCCCCTGCATTGTCTCGTCAAGATACTATATCGGCCGTTGCGTCCCCTGAACGTACGAGGGGAATGCTTGCGGAGAACCTGAGTGGAAAACCAGGACGTGTCATGCTAGTTCTGTGAGTTGGTTGTTCATTTCATTGCCGCCATCTTGCCGAATACCCTGGATTCCGAAGCCCGAGATCCTGGATGTTCACCCGCCCCGCTCGGCCAGATGTCCTACCCGAAGGCAGCGGCGCCGGGCATGTACCCGTACGGCCCAGCACACGCGCGAACATTTCCGACCCAAACGGCCAAAAGATCCAGGATACCAATTGTATATTCAGAGTTCAGATCCTGGATGTATACCTCGTCGGTGGGGAGCGGGGACAGGGGGAATAGGGAAAGTGGACATGGGGAAACGGACGATGTCATCCCCAAACTCGAGTACCAACCACATCTTCATCCAGTGAGCGTCCGTGAGCTTTTTCCAGTGTCGCGGCCCAGTAGTATATCTTGTTGGGATTATACCTTGGGCTCCAGTCCAAACTTTCTGGTGCAGAAGCGTCTGGACCTTTCACATTGAACAGTCGTGTTCGTGGTACTCTTCTGGATTGATCTCACAAGATTCCCCTCACGGACTCTTCCAGGGCCAGGCTTAGGTGGGTTTCCATATGAAATTGAACAGGGTCCAGCGATGGCATTGTGTAATTCTGAGCTCCATTCCGCTTGCGAGACTCCTGGATTCTCCTCAGAAGTGTCTCCCGTGGTGAATACCGAAGCACATATGTGTGGTCAGGTGTCGATGACCTCGAGCTATGGCTCTAGCAACTTGACCCTCAGGAACAAGCCAGGGTCCAATGCATCGCGCGGCAGCCGTCCAAGGTGAAGGATTGCGGTGGGAGAATGTCCTTGCCAGCCCGAGAGCAGATCTTGCGACACAGCGATGCTGAGCCAATTCGGCCCAGAGCGATGCAGGGGCTGCTTACACAATGCAACACCCGCCCCCCAGTGTAATTGTGGCTGCTTCGCGTCCTGAACAGCCTGTGTGCGCTCTGAGTGACCTTGAGGAGCCTCCGACTATTCTTACGCCTCTGAAGCCCAAGCAGCTGTCGAGTCTTCCGACTGTTTAGGAAACGCCTCTTTGCACCGTCGGGTCCAACTAGAGGTCCCTCGTGCTGAGCTGGCTCTAGAATGGCGTGCCTACCGCAACCCCTTGTTCGACGATCTGGTTCTTGAGGGCTCTGTGTTTCGAGTGGTTGACCGACTTAGGCGAGATACGAAATCCCAACTCGCCTGAAACAGTCTTTGGGCACGGCAAGAGTTGGGGGCACTCTTCTGGTAGGGCCTCGCGCAACCGACCATCCCAGCGCGCAGATCGTGCACCTATTTTCTGAGGGTGATCCTTGCAAGACGGTGGCGATGCGGGTGCAGGAGGGCACGTAACAAGCGTTCGTGCGCTTGCAAAGTTTTGACCACATCTTGCCTCGTACAGTCGGGCCAATGAAGGAGGGACCCTTTTCGTTGGGGAGTGGCTGTGTTCCTTAAGTGTTTCATAATGTGTCTTAGGCTGTCCTTGGGTCTTCTATGGGGAATCGAGGCTGAACTTCTTGAACAAGGGGGCCCCGCTCGTTATCTAGGGTTCCTGATGACGGCGTTTCGAATGTATCGAACCCCGAGGCCGACTGAGGCCAAGGCAGGCGCAGATTATTAGGTAGTCCATGGGCGTTGGCTCCTCCCCCTCTTCCTCCGAGGAGGGAGGAGGGAGCGAAGAGGCGGAGGGAGGAGGCATGGGGGAGATGAAGTGAGGGGTGAGGATGGAAGAGGGAGGAAGAGGGGCGAGGGAGGAGAGGGAGGAGGGAAGAAGGGGGAGGAGGGAGTGAAGATGAGGGAGCAGGGAGGGGGGATGGAGTGAGGGGTACGGGTGGAAGAGGGAGGAAGAGGGGGGAGGGTGGAGAGGGAGGAGGGAGGAGGAGGGAGGGCGGGAGGGAAGGAGGGAGAAGGGAGGTAGGCCCCCTCCCCCCCAACCCCCCCTGGTGGAGGGACACCGACGTCCGGGCGCTCCTGCCAGCGCGACTGGCGAGCGGCGCCGGGTTCCAGACGAAGAGCGCCCCCGCCCCAGAGGGCCCGCGGCGAGGGCGAAGGGGCATGGGGAAGGGAGGGGGAGGAAGAGGATGCTGAGGATGACGACGTGAGGGGGGAGGACGAGGGGCAACGGGGGAGAATGGGAGGATGGAGGCGGGACATGGGAGGGGCAGGGAGGACGCGGAAGTAGAAACGGAACGTGAGGAGGAGGAGGAGGAGGAGGAGGAGGAGGTGGCGGAAGTGGTGGGGGAAGGGGGAGGGGGAGGAGGATTTCGTGGAACGGTGGGAGGAGGTGCAGTGTGGGGGGAATGGGGAGACGGAGGGAGGGACAGCCATGCCATTGGTCAGGGTCTGATGTACCATAGGGACGATTGGGAATCCAGCGAGGGATGATGCATTGGTAGGGGGAACATCGAGAGCACTGGGGAAGAGAGGCAAGGATGGAAAACGGATGAGTATGCCTATACTACCACCCTTCGGGTGATAAGGAGGTTCTGGGGGGGGAGAGGGGGGGGGAACCAACATCTGACTCAATCGATCTCACTATCGATCTCACTCAACGGGGAACCACGGGACACCACGGGACACCATGGGACGCTTGTCGATCTCATTATCCATCTGACTCAACGGGACACCACGGGACACCACAGGACACCGCGGGACACCTCTCGCTCTCATTATCGGTCTCACTATCGATCTCACTCAACGGGACACCACGGGGCACCTCGGGACGCCACATCGATCTCACTCAACGGGACACCACGTGACACCTCTTGATCTCACTATCGATCTCATTATCGATATTACTTGTTGGGACACCACGGGACACTACGGGACAACTCGGACCTCAGTATCGATCTCTCTTTTGATCTCACTATCGATCTCAGTCAACGGGACACCACGGGACACCACGGGACACCGCGGGACAGCGAGCCACGGCCAGACGCACGGACGGACGGCGGGCGGGGGAGAATCATGTGTCTTGACTTCGCCCCAGCAACAGCGGACACCACTGGACACCTCGGGGCACCACATCGACCTCAGTATCGATCTCACTATCGATCTCACTCAACGGGACACCACGGAACACCGCGAGCCACCGCCGGACGGACGGACGGGGGAGCAACATTTGTCTTGATTTTGCCCTAGCAACGGCGGACACCACGGGACACCACGGGACACCGCGGGACACCGCGAGCCACCGCCGGACGGGCGGGCGGGTTTGTCTTGACTCCGCCCTCGCAACGGCGAACACCACGGGACACCGCGGGACACCGCTAGGGCCCCCGCCGGACGGACGGACGGGCGGACAGACGGGGGAGCAACATTTGTCTTGACTTCGCCCTAGCAACGGCGGACACCACGGGACACCGCGGGACACCGCTAGGGCCACCGCCAGACGGACGGATGGACGGGCGGACGGGGGAGCAACATTTGTCTTGACTTCGCCCTCGCAACGGCGGGTTCATTTCTTTCGCGCGCCGACGCAGCTTCGCCTCGCCCGCACGCACGACACGAACGAAACGAAACGATTTCCCGGAAGGGGGTCTCCGTTCGTTTGCGATCTCACCCCCCAACCTCCGATCACCCCAGCAGTGCGGCCCAATCCAAGTGTGATGTTGTTCCAGAACGGCCCTCAGAAACCTTTGTGAGAATCCCAGCCTCCGTTACCTGGGAGACTTGGAATGATGAGAACCGTGTGGCATTTGCAAAAGATTGCGTTGTGCAATTGAGACCTGGAAAGGTTGACACCCGTCGCTCCAGCCATTCAATGCAACACGTTGTGTAGGCCGCACTGTGGCATGGGGTGCACAGCACGGTGAGTACAGTACAGCTTTGTTCGTGTCACCCTGTCAGGATATGAGTAACGTTGCACCCATCAAGCCATTCTACAAGGATGGTAATGATCAGGCGCTAGGGCGTGCACCACATGAACATACATAATGATAAAGCTTAAGCGGTGAACGCGTTCAGCATATACGGAACATGTGTTCCGTGTAACACGTTGCCAGGGACACGGTGGGCATGCGACATTGTAGCGTCACACATATTGCGAGAACGAGGCGTTGTTGCGTGGGTGCCCTGGAATGCGCCGACCTCCAACGGGCACGAGGGAGTGCTCCGGGCTGGGGCTGCTACGGCAACCGCGATTGGTGCAGGTGAGCCCCGTGGAAGCGGTTGTGTGAGGTCAATATAGTTTGACGCGGTCAGGGGACGGTTTGAAACAATGTTGGGGAGTTCTATTTGCGGGTGGAGCGTGATGCGTCGTAACAGAGGCACCACATCGAACATGTGTTTTAGCAACAAGATCTATTCCCACGGCCCAGGAGATGTTACTATGGCATGGGCTGGCCCAAGAGGGGAAATAGGGCACATGGAGAGGAGGATGGTGACTATGATGTTGGTAATAGTGATGTTGATGATGATGGTGATGGCGACGATGATGCAGATGGTGATTGTGACTGTGGCTGGTGAAGATAATTGGTGATGGTGATGGTGATGTCGTTGAGTGGTGATGTGTGTGATATTGATGATGATGATGATGATAATGATACTGGTGGTGATGATGACGATGATGATGATTGTGATGGTGATGGTGACTGTGATATGAATTGTAATGGGTGATGGTAAACGGTGATTGGTGATTGGTATTGGTGATGGTGGTGAGGGTGAGGATGAGGATGATGATGATTATGATGAGGACACTGAGGATGATGCTGATGATCATGAGGAGGAGCCGGAGGCAGAGGAGGAGCAGGAGGTGGGGGGGACAGTGGGGGGAGTCGGCTACGCGTAAGAGTGACCTTTCGCCGGAGTGACCTTTGGTGCGGGCCCACTGGGGTCCCTCGATTGCCGAGCGCGATGCGTCCGTAGCGTCTTGCGCGCTCGTGTTCGACCCCCGGGCGACCCCCCACAAAGCCGCGCACCAGAGGTCACTCTTACCCAGGTTGCGTGTAGCCGAGGGAGGAGCGAGGGATCGCCGGGGATGGACGACAAGGGGGGGAGGCGGGACGCCACGGAGGGGTGGAAGAGGGGGAGGAGCGGGAGGGAAGAGGAGGGGGGGAGGGCCGTCCGACGGAGGAGGGAGGCCTCGGGAGGGGGAGAGGGGGCGAGGGACTGCCGAGAGGGAGCAGAGGACGGGGCGCGGAAGGGGTACACACACACACACACTTTTTTGATTCGCGGGTCGAGAGCGCACCTCTTCCGGTCGTCACACACACGCACACACACACGCACACACACGCGCACGCACACACGCACACACACACAAACACGTACGCACGCACACGCACACGCACACGCACGCACGCTCGCACACGCACGCACATATCTATACATATTTATAGATAGATAGATCGATATATATATATATATATATAGATATATAGATATATATAGATAGATAGATATATAGATATATAGATATATAGATATATATATATATATATATATATATATATATATAGATATATAGATAGATAGATAGATAGATAGATAGATAGATAGATAGATAGATAGATAGATAGATAGATAGATATAGATCTATAGCGGAAGGGGCGCCCCGAAGGTGGACACGTTGCCTCGGCCACCACCACGGCCAATGCTGGCACCCTCGCGGCGGCGGAATCCGGGGCCTCCACCGGCCCGCCCGGGGCGGCCTCCGCGGCCTCTCCGCGGCCGCCGCCGCGCGCCGCTCGGGCACCGCGGGGGGGCGCGCCGAGGTCTTCATCCGCTTCTCGGACGAGGAGACTCCCCTCTCGCCGGCCCTGCGCTTCTCGACGCCGCGAGGGTGATCTTTTTCGCTCAGGAGGGGGGAAACACACACCTGCACAGTGCATCGTCGATTCCCCAGAAGATGTGGGGAAATATGGGGAGTGGGGGGGAAGACAAAAACCCAGAAAATATGGGGAAATATGGGAATCCTGTTATTTGTGTGTATTTATTTGTGTGTCCCAGGGCCCCTTCATTCTCAGAGTGGAGGCCCATGCCAAGGAGCACCCTGCTCGCCTCCAGTGTGCCCTGTGTATCTTGGGTTTCGATGGTTTTGCGACGGAGAGCGTGACGCTCCCACGCCAAAAATCAAGGGACGCCCTGGGGTCTCAGGACTGGGTTGCTTGTGGAAGGTTTCTGGTGGTCTGGCCTCCACTGTATTCATCGTTTTGCCGCTTGGCGCGGGCACTCGCGCCCCCCCTCATCCCGCCCCCCCCTGGAGTAGATCTTGGCTGCCTTTGGCGCCTGTTTTTCGAGCAGGTGGAGCCTCCACCTCAACTAGGACGCGCTGTCTCAAACCGTCGCACTCAGCAGAGGCCCGGAACCAGACCCCCCCCCCTTCCTCGGGAGCCTCGAGACGGGGGTTAATCCAAACGGGGGTGAGCCAGAGCGCCCGATCTTGCAGGATCCTGCAGTGCCAGGGTCGCATTGACCCGGGTTTGGGTGCATGATCCTGCAGGATCTCGCAGGATCCTTCGCACTGACCTGGGCTTGGGCGCAGGATCCTGCAAGATATCTTGGGGGAAGGCCTGACTGGCCCGGGTCTGGATTGACCCGGGTCACAAGACCTCCGATTTCCCCCACCTCCTCCTCCTCCCCCTCCTCCTCCTCCTCCCCCTCCTCCTCCTCCTCCTCCTCCTCCTCCTCCTCCTCCTCCTCCTCCTCCTCCTCCTCCTCCCCCTCCTCCCCCCCCCCACTGTCGAAACGCCGCATCAGACGACGACGCTCACAGGGCGCGCCGCTCACGAGGCGCGCTGCCCGCTCCAAGAGGGAGGACGGGCCGGCCCGCATCAGCCGCCCCCCCCCCCGCCACGGACGGCGGCGGCTGCGGCAGGCCCGCGCCAAGGCCGCCCGGCGCCGACCCTTGGCGCGTGCGTCCCGGGCGGAACGCCGCCCGTTGCGGGCAGTGCTTCTGTCCATATCCACGGCAGTACACCTTAGGCGATGCTTAAGAAAACTTAAGTTTTCGTCCAGAGTCTCGATTATTCTTAACGTTTCAATATAAATCCCAAGATTTTGATCGAATTTTTGGGTTTTTGTTCAAGTTCTGAGACTATGAATTTCTTAACCCATGATTAGGGTGTACGGAGTTTCGGGCTCCCTTCCCCGGAAACCCGAGGCACACCGTATGTGGATGAGTTTGCCCACCGTAGAGGCTAGGTTTTTTTCCATATCCTGTGCGCCTCGGCCCGGAGGCGCCTCCTCCCAAAAAGTTCAAGGCGCACTGGATATGGATATAAGTCTTGCCCGCACCCGTGGCCCTGATCAGGAGGGGAAAAAACGCATCGACACAATTCATCGTCGATTCCCCAGAAAATCTGGGAAAATATGGGCAGCGGGGGAGGGGGAGACGGAAACCCAGAAAATATAGGGAAATACGGGGAACCCTGTTATTTGTGTGTATTTATTTGTGTGTCCCAGGGCCCCTTGACCAGAACCCAGAACCCCCTCGAGCAACGAAAAAGTCACGACGGGAGGTTTCTTCGTTTTTGTTCTGCCTCTGGGGGCCCCGACAGGGCCTCGGGAGCGTCAGAAAACGACTCACGATGCAAAGCTGGGACCTCTGGGGGTCGACGTAACGAAAAAAACATTACGTCGGGGGTCTTGGAAGCGGCATGTCGTTGAACGATCCAGCGTTCCTGGAACGGCCCATTGTTCAAATTTGAACGATCTCCGCGGTGTCGGAGCCAACGCCAGGGTCGACACGACGCGAACCTTCCGTAGGTGCATCCCCAAGTCCGCTGTACTGTCGGACCTCAGTGGGCCCTGGAAGCGACAGGGCTGTCTTTGTTACCGGTTTCGCTTTGCCATTTTTGTCGCTGGTTCCGGCAACGTTTTTTTGCCTGTTCCGGTTCCAATTGTGGAACCGTTTTTTGTCGTTTTTGGAAGCCGTTTTTGGCCGCATCCATTTTCAAGCGACATTTTGTCGGAAACGGTGAAAAAACGGCCTTGCCGCTTCCGGGCCCCACTAAGAGTCGGACCGAGGTGTAAGATCGAGGTCGATTCGGGGAGTGTATCTTGGTGTTCTTCGTGTTTGTTGGATTTTCTTGTGCACCCTGCGGAGGGTACCTTTGGATGCTCCGTGTGTTTTTGCCGGCAGAGGTTCTCATGTTTTTGAGGGGAGTTTTTTTTGCCCTAGGTCCAGCGGCTGCACGTGCATCCTAAAGTCCGCTCGGTTGTGGGTTCTCAGTCCTCGTGCGTGTGCGATCGCATCGCAGACCCCCGATCAAACCCGACTGGCCTATGCGAGTAGGCAGCTTGAAATTTGACCCGAGGCGGGTGGGGTACCGCTGGGCACCGTTCGGCGGAGGGCGATTTGCAGTCACGGCGTGCAGTGTTCCTCGTTGGGGGCCGCTTGGCCCAGGGCGGCTGAGATCTGGCGAAACGTAGGCGCATGGATCTGGACGCCGGAAACGGGTACGGATAGAATGGGTACAATGCCCAACCGCAGCTCTTGTTCATTTTGAACCGGACTCGCCGTCCGCGCCGCCGCGGCCGGTGTCCATTCGAGACAGAAGGCCGCTTGCCCATTGGGCAATTCTGGCACAGGCTTGCCAAATCACGCATAGCCTTGGCGCAGCCCCGCGCAGCCGCTACGCGATTCCCCCATGGGGGGTCCCCCCTAGGATTCCCTCATCGGCATCTCCCACAGGATTCCCCACATGATTCAATCGGAGGCATTGACTACGGGCCGAGAGCCAGACCCCCCCCCCCTCCCCCCCCATGCGCCTAAAGCCGGAACCCAGAATAAAAAAATGCTCACCAACAGCGGCCGCTGCTGGTTTGGGACATCATTGGTTGTCGGGCATTGTGCCCATTCTTTCCGCACCCACTTCGGGCGTCCAACATGGATCCCCGCCGCCCTGGGCATCCCCCAAGGTTAAAGAAGGGAAAAAGCACACAGACACAATTCATCGTCGATTCCCAGAGAATATGGGAAAATATGGGAAGTGGGGGGAAGACACAAACCCCGAAAGTATGGGGAAGTATGGTGAATAGTTGTATGTATGTGTATTTATTTGTGTGTCCTGGGGCCCCTTCAAAGGTGGAGAGCCTGACGTGACGATGTGCTCTGTCCTCCGAGTGCTATTGCGCAGAGTTGTGTGCAAGACGAAGCGCGGGGCCGAGGCACCAACGGCCTCTCTCGCAGCAACAACGGTGAGATGTAGCCTGCTACCCAGCTGCCCGCGGCAAATCCTATCACCGTGGTGGCCCAGCGTGTTGGGTGGCGATTGCTCGAGGGGGCACGGGAGGCCGTAACTTATGACACCTTATGTGCCCGGGCTAGGGGGAGCCGGAATCTGTGACACGCTCATCCGCGTTGTGTCGGTGGCGCACGTTTGGGCCTTCTTGGGGCGTTTTTCTATCGTCTAGTGGGTCAGTTGGGGCTTTCGTGGGATCGTCTCGTCTTTAGGCCGTCTTGAGCCTCCCAGGGTCCTTCTGAGGTAGTCCTGAGCCGTCGAGGGGCCCTTCTGGGCCAGCTTGGGGCTGGGGCCGTCTTGAGGCCGTATTGTGTAAGATCGTTTAGCAATTTTGTTGTTGCCTCGGCCGTCTTGGAATTTTGCAAGTGTGGATTCACCGAATCTTACGAGTTATTGTGGCCTCGCGAGCCCGGACACTTCAGCGTTGAGGCCAAACTCGTATTCGTGTTTGCCGCCTTGGTCACCTGACGATCTTAGGTTTTCAGGTTCTCGGGTTTGTCTGTTCGCGCTTGGGTGGCTCATGTGGCTACGCCAAGGCTGGCCTGCTTTCGAGGGCGCCACGCCCCGGGCATCTCGGGTGCCAGCGCGATTGTTATCGGTGCGCGCCAGGGCGCGGGCGAAATTGCACCTGTGCTCCATGTTACCTTTGAGCGGGGCTCGGGTGATCACTCCCTCCTCCTCCTCCTCCTCTTCCCTGCTCCTCCTTCGCTCTGTCCTGTGTGCCTGCTGATTTCGCTCTATTTCCCGCTGCTGAACTGCTGCCAGGGCCGGGCTGGTTTGCTCTTGCCTCTCCTTCCCTCCACATTCTAATACACCCCCTCCTCAGCGCCAGGGTCATCCTTGTCGTCCTCTTGCTTATACTGCTCGTCCTCGTCGTTTGCAGTGCCACGCATGCCCAAGCGCACACATGGCACAGCCCGCAATGATAGACCGCGCCTATGTCATTTGAACGCAAATTTCATGCAACTATTGGACAAGCTTAAAAGCATGCTTAGACAGTTTTCAGACCACGTTTAGACAATATGTAGACCATCTTGAGTCAATTTGTTGTTGATCATGTTGTAGACACTGTGTGTTCCATGTATCGCCCCCGTGTGTGGAACTTTGAAACCACTTCTAGGCCACCGTGAATCCTCTTGCGCCCAGACTTTCGCTTGGACGCCAGCGGGGGGCAAATGTGACCTGGAATGCAACCCAGATGCTGATATTTTGATGTCAGTGCAAACATACGTTAATTCATGCAAGACCGAAGGTAGGACGTAGCAGGAAATTCTTGACGAGTCGCGTATCCCCACCAGCGATCCACCTTACGTTACCATTCATCAGTTTTTGCGGCTCTTGGCTGCGCCCCCGACCAAGTGTGCCCTGGCTGGGAACTGGACAGTGCGACGGGCCATCCCAAGGCCGACCACTCACCAGTTTGTGCGGCTCTTGGCTGCGCCCCCCACTAAGTGTGCCCTTGCTGGGTACGGGGCAGTGCGACGGACCATCCCAAGTTTGGCGGCCTTGGTCACGTCCGTCGTGCCACGACACGTGGCGGCACACCTCACGTA